GTCTTGCGGCAGAGCAAGCGTGGGAATTGGGATTTTTACGGAAGATGATGGAAAAACTTGTGTAGCTTCCCTGGTTCTTCATTTTTGTAATTTTTTTTTTTTCCTACTCATCAATGAGGCCGCGTTGAGGAAGGCAGCGCGAGTGCAGTTGTGCTTGTTTCGTGCCATCCCGCCAGCCCCGCACTGCCTCCCACGCAGAGGGGTTTGGCGGCTGCGGAGCCCGCAACGACCGCCACCTCGTCGGCCGACAGCGAGTGCCCGGTCCTCATCGGTGTGTGTGTGTGTTATTGTACGAGCGTGGGATGAATCGCACCTTCGGTGGTGGGGATGTTGGGCGCGTTAAACGAAGGTGTCATCGCCCATTGTGGCACTTTCTTTCTTTGTAGGAATAGGAGGGGCAAGGCCTCAGCCAGGCGCATATTCGGTTTTTTTCCGTTCTTTTTTTTTATATACTGTTCCTATGCATCCTTTTTTGCATGTTTTACCGCGTAGTTTGAAGTGTTTTCAACGGTTTTTCAATTTGTAGTTTGCTGCATTGCGGAAAATGCTGGAAATGATGTGGACGGTGAGGGCTCGCGAATCTTTTTCTCTTTGCGCGATGTTCTAGTGTTCATGTATTCCTTTTTTCTTTGTACATGATGAATGTTTCGTCGTGGGGCCACAATGAAGTGGGAATGCGTCACTTTTATGCCCCAACCAGCTACTCTCGTAGGGCTCCTTTTTCTGCCGGTTCTTGATCTGTTGGGAGGGGGCAGAAGCCCCAAGGAGCAGTCTCTTTGTAAGTAACTTGAATCTATATAAATATAATGTTTAAGTTTTATTTTTACTGTTTGCCCTCTTGTTTTTGATCCGAACCAAGCATACAGCGCACATTCCAGAGGGTATGACCCTTTTTTTCTTCGGTTGATTCCCTCCATTTTGAGCTACAAGCAGTAGGCGTCGGCGTCTGTAAGAGGCCTAATTAATCGCACTTTTTTCCCAAATAGGGATGCGTGGTTGGAAGAAGCTGGAGGATGAAAAGATAAAAGTAGCATGCATCCCCACGGTGGCTGCTCACATTTGCCATTCATGGCACTTGACTGTGACCTTTTGACTTTTTGGCTTTCGCGTTTCTGTGCTTCTGGAATTTAGAGGAAGGCAAGGAAGAAGAAGAAAGGGGCTGTGGCGGCGAAGGGGACAATGGTTGCAGTTGGCAGTGCTGGGGCTCATGGCTACACTGTGTCGTTTGCCTCCACGCGCGAGGAGTGCACTGTTGCGTTCGGCATCGCCACTAAAATCTTTCTTGCCCGCAGCAGCGAGACAGGGGAGCAGGTGCTCACGGTAGATGACGGACAAGTGGTACGCGGCACCGCCCTCTTGCGTGCCCCAAGCGGTGCCCTTTGTGTTGCCGCTGGAGGTGACGGGAAACACATCAATGTGTATCACGTGGGATCAGCAGAGCCTTCACTAGAGTCACAGTCCCATGCGAGAAATGGCCGTGCCGGTGAACTGCGGTCATTATTTTCCTTTGGGCCTCACGCAAAGCGCATTACCCACGTTGCGGCCTGCGATGAGGCCTCCATTCTTTTCGCAGATAAATTTGGGGAGGTGTTCCGCCTTGGCCTTGCATGGGGATTGAGTGACTCTTTGACACTGGCACCCGGTGATGCAACAGCGCCCATGTTTCTCTTGCAGCACTTTAGTGTGATGAGTACCCTCTTTCTCTCTGCGCCAATCCGGCAGGCAATAAACGATACTGCCGAAGCACGAAGGCTTTTTACCTGCGACAAGGACTGCCATGTTAGGGTTAGTTGTTACCCCGACACGTTTCGAATCGAACAATTTTTGTGGATTGAGGCCCCACAGTCGGTGGTAACCTCCATTGCGGAGCTCCCTGACCTCTCGGAAAGGCGGCAGCACTCCTACTTTGTGACGGGAAACTTTGATGGAGAGGTGCATTTGTGGGTTGCGGATAACACCTTGACGGCTGCCTGCCCCACGGAGCCGTTTACTCTCCTTTGCTGTCTTCCTGCGCCGAAGGAAGCTGGACTGAACGCGGAAGGAGCGACTGCTGTTGTATCTGTGGTGTATGTCGCATTGCCATCGTCACCCGATGGTGTTGGCAAGCACGCGGGAAAGGAGTATTCACGTGGGGTTCTTGTCGCCTATGCGAGTACAAGCGATGTGGTGTTTGTTCCACTCCTGCAGTGTAATGATGACTATAGGCTTTCGCTTTCCACGGAGAATGTCACTCGAATGCGCGTGGATTCGCCTCCGCTTGCAATGGTGGGGTTGGCTACCAACTCGGCCCTTGTGCTGGGGCGCACTGGGCGCGTGCAGGTTCTGCAACTTGTGGATGTGGCGGGGGAGCCACCAGCCATTCGTCTCGCGGAATCGCGACATGCGGCACTTGAGACGGCAGTAGGGGAACTCGCGAAGGGAAGCGGGGGAAGCTTGCTGAAAGAAATGAAGCTCTTTTCGCAGTGGCGGTACGACGCCGTCGATCCTCGCACGCGCAGGACGGGGAAGACAAGGACCGCCTCCGAGGAAGACGACGACGACGACGACGATGACCACGAAGACGAGGTGACGGATAGCGCCCCAGTGGAAGACAAACTGGCCGGCGGAAAACGTCCGCGCGACAAGTCTAGGGGTGAGGCTTAAAGACACCCAGGTCTGGGACGAACTGGGTGGAGGGTGGTCGTTGAGAGAGGACGGAGCCGCAGGCAAGACAACAATTATGTCGCCCACCCTCAGAAGAAGAAGAAAAAAAGTTATATTTTACTAATTCACATGAATGCCCACTGTTTTTGTTGTTTTATTAACGTATGGGAGGCCACAGGAACAACAACAACAACAAAAAAGACGCATGTGTGTCTGGGCGGCAGTGCCGTCTACTGGTGGCTCGGTGCCGAGCGTAACCTGCCCTGTATTTCTTGACTGTTTGCTGTTGCTTGATGCATCCGCCGTTGCGACAGAAGGAGAGAGAGAGGGAAAGAGCAGCTTAGGTAGAGAAGAGGGGGGGAAAAAAAACAGGGCTTAGATTCTCCAGGTACATGCAGTAGTGCACGAGTGAGAAGAGGCGGAGACAAGGGGAGAAGGAACAAAAAAAGAAAGTGGGAGAAAAATGGGCGCCACTGTCACAGCACAAGAAACAGAGACGGCTGAGGCGGCTGTTTTCGACGGAGTGGTGCCATTGGATCGCAAAGCTTTCGGCAAAATCCCACAGCTGACCTTCTGCCCCGACTGTGGACGGCTGTTTGATGTATTCACAAGACCGCGTCGCTGCCGCGTCTGTGGTGAGGCGCTATGTAAGAGGTGTTGTCTCCTTTGCCGCAATTGGAAATGGCGGCCCATATGCGCCTACTGCATGGACAGCTGTTTGTGTAACTACGCTCAACGCACGTGCGGTGACTCCTTCGATGAGGCGCATCGGAACAAACTGCGTTGGCAGCAGCAAGGCAAGAAAACCAGCTCCTGTGAAATTCTGCGTAGCTTCTTTATAAACGCCATAGACGCCCAGGATTAGATGCTCGCGGAGAAGTCGAAGGGGATTGCAGAGCGGGACGTTTCACAAGGGATGTAACACTTCCGACAGACCCTTTTTCATCTTTTTTCCCTTTCTTCTCTTTCACAAAACGGTATTTTTTCAAAAAAAAAATTATTCTTGAGATGATTATAAACGGGCGAGGAGGAAGAAAAAATAATTCCTTCTTAATGTTACTCTCTCTACCTCTCTCCGCTTCGATTCTATCTCTTTTTCTTTCTCTTTCTCTTTCTCTCACACTTCTCCCTTGTCATGTCTTTGGCTTTTGTTTTTATTTTCGCTTTTTGTTATTGTTCAGTGATCTCAGTGGTATCTCTTTTGTTTTGATCAGTTTGTTTTCTTCTTCTTTTTTGGGGGGATTATTGTGCGCCGAAGAGCAGCATCGCCCCTGCACCACACGAGGGTGATGAGGGGTGAGAGCGGGTGTGGGGTGGGGGGAATCAATTCTGTGGTGATACACCTGAATGTATTGAAGAAGAAAATTTACAAGCCAGCCGCGTGTGTGTAAAGAGGGAAGGAGAGAAAGAGAATGAGAATGAGAGGGACTACAAGTTGTAGCTGCGTCTTCGGCCACATCGTCATGTATTTATTTTTCGGTTTTAATTGAAGTAGGAGGAAACGGATCTTAGGGGGACGACGGCTCTTTGAAGATGCCGAAAGGTTAAGGAAGGAGGGCGGGCGGGCGGTGGAAGCCCCCTCCAGTGGGTACTGCGGATGGCGGCAGAAACCCTGATTAGTGCAGCCGTTCGAACTGAGCTCCCCATCGGTGGCTGGCTGCACCATTTCCATTTCATACGCGCATCTGTGTCTGTGTGTTGTCGATCATTTGACGGCGTCTGTGGCGTCATGTCGGCTTCTTTTTCTTTTCTTTTTCTTTTGTTTGCCAGCAGGGATTTAAACTATCATTTACTCTCTCTGTGTGCGTGGGTGTGTGCGACTGTGCGTTTGCTGTTAACTCACTGAAAGTAGGAGGTGGGAAAAAAGAAAACGCCCTGTGGAATGGGGCTCATATTTAGTTTCAACGCCACACATGAGGAGGTGCCTGAAGATGTGAAGGAGATGGTGGAGCCGATTGATTACACACCCGCGCCAGAAGACAAAAGACCGCAGGGTGATCGTTTTTGCGCTAACTGCGGGGAGCCGTACTTTTATTACTTCACGACAAGCACAAACTGTAACTGGTGCGGCAGGCAATTCTGCACGCGCTGCTGCCCTAACCGACATCTTTTAGGGGGCAAGCCGGGTTGCCCTGAATGCACCCGCAAGGCGTATTTGATGAAGCGGAAAGAGTTGCTCAACGATCATCTAGCGGCGTTTCGTAGGTCAACTGAGAAGTCAGCGGAGGTCAATGTTGCGTTGCAAGAATAGTGTCTATCACAATTGCTCTCGCTGAGCAAATTAAATTAGATGTGTTCTGCGGGGGTTATTGTGTTATTATTGGCGTTGTTGTTTTTTTATTGGTGCCGGTTATCTGCCAATATTATATAATACCGTTTTATTTATGTCTTCTCTACTTACTGTTTTGCTACAAGGCAAATGTTTTTACTCCACGCCAGCGTTTTACTTTGGTTAGATACTGGGCCCTTATCAATATAAGCATGCATATGTATTTATTTTATATATATATATATGCATTTATATATTTACGTATAAATAATATGCATATGTATTGCCTGTGCCTCGCATTATGGGACAAGTCGGCATATCATGTGTGCGCATGGAGTCCATAACATAGAAAGGCAGTCCCCCCCCGTTGCGTTCCTTTTCTTCTTCTTCCCTTGTTTGCTTTTCCTCCTTCGGTGTCTGCGTGGGAGTGTGTGGCGGCGGATGTGTGATTACTACTACTATTACTATTATTTTGCCCCCGGCTGCGTGGACCCTTAACGAGTCTCATTGGGTTTGTTGTTCGCGTAGCACCCAACATGCGCCGCCCTGTGCGTGAGCGGCTCTCCACCGCTGCGATTGCCGCGGTGAGGCGAGGATGTGGGTGTGCGAATGCCTGCGGCGGAGAGGCGCGGTCGTACGATGTCCTTCGCGGTGAGGGAAGCAACGTCGAGGTGCGAGCGTGGATCAGGGGTGTTGAGGTGGAGCGCTCAGCGCACGAGCAGCTCCTTCAACTCTCGCGTATGGGTGAAGTCATTCGGCACCCCATTGCCGTCATGCCGGACGTCCACACAGGCCAAGGCGCCACAGTGGGAACCGTCATCCCGACGACAAACGCGCTGATTCCTGCGAGTGTTGGGGTGGACATTGGCTGCGGCATGATTGCGGCGAAAACCACCCTCACCCCAGAGGACCTTCCCGGGTCGCTCGCCGAGTTACGACTGGCCATTGAGGTCGCCGTCCCGCATGGACGAACGCACAACGGCAGAAGCGGTCTTGATGCTGGAAGTTGGCGCGGCGATATACCAAAAAATGTTGCCGATATTTGGAATACACATTTACGGAGGGATTTTGAGGAGATTTGCGCGACGCAGAGGGCGATTGAAGCCAGTAACCACGTCTCCCACCTCGGGACACTCGGCAGTGGAAATCATTTTATTGAACTTTGCATTGATGACGCCCAACACCCTTATGTGTGGGTGATGCTGCATTCTGGATCGAGGGGAGTGGGGAATCGCATTGGCACCATCTTTATCGAGCTTGCCAAGAAGGATATGGGCAATCACCTCACCCACTTGCCCAGCGCCGACCTTGCATACCTGCGAGAGGGGTCCCCGCACTTTGACCAGTATGTGAAAGCCGTTGACTGGGCTCAGCGTTACGCCAAGTGGAACCGCGAAATCATGCTGCAGAATGTCCTGCAGGCCATGCGGAGTTGTCTCCCGAAGCCCTTTAGTGTTGGCGCGATGGTCATCAACTGTCATCACAATTACGTTGAGCGTGTGGAGTTAGACCCACATAATTGTGTTTGGCTGACACGAAAAGGGGCGACTTCGGCACGTGGTGGGGAACTGGCAGTGATTCCAGGTAGCATGGGAGCGAAGAGCTACATTGTACGTGGAAAGGGCAGTCCGCTCAGTTATGCCTCCTGCTCACACGGTGCTGGGAGGCGCTACAGTCGTGGAGAGGCAAGGCGGCGCTTCACACTCGAGGATCATGAGGCGGCCACGGCTGATGTGGAGTGTCGCAAGGACGCCGATGTGCTCGACGAGACCCCTCTGGCGTACAAGAAGATTGATGAAGTGATGCAGGCTCAAGAAGATCTTGTGGAAGTTGTTTGTGCGCTTAAGCAAGTCCTTTGCGTGAAGGGGTAAACAATCAACCAGGCACATAAATACCCACACGCACAAAGAAAAAAAATGGAAGAAGGGGTTACGCCTCCTCCTTTTCCTTGTTTTTTTTTGTGACCTTTTCAGGGGAGGGATGGGGCGGCGATGTGACTTTGATCTTGAGAATTGCTGCGTATATATGTCTTTATATATATATATATATATGCCTTTGTGTGTGTGTGTGTGTCGTTCTTCATCACGGGTGTGCTTTCCAGGCAAATGCCTCCCACTGTTTTTTTTTGTCTTCTCTTCTTCACCTGCTTTCAACGTGGATGCGGCCTAGTGCCTGTTATACGTATAAAAGTCATCAACTTCGCATTATTTTCTAAACCCAAAGGGTGGTGGGGGGGAGAAAGAAGATATAAATAGCGCCCATACAGGGAAGCCGATAGAACGAGTCCGCTTCGCTTCACCTCACTCCTCCTTTTTACCGCTGTGTGCGTGTGGCAGCGTGAGGCTGTTGCGGATACCGATTCCCCTGGGCACAATGAACGCGACGGCCACCGCACCAGCGGGGAGTCGGCTCAAATTCAAGGAATACTCCCCACACATTGAAGTCAGCTTTTGGTACGAGCTTGAGCGTCGCAAGCTCCACGAATGGCGTCTGCAGGAGCCTGTGGTGCCCTTGACGCTCTTTTGCACAGTAAACGCTGCGTCCTCCAGCGCTCCTGCTAACATCGTCACAGTGAGGCGAGAGAGTCTAGACAAACCCGCCGCCATTGCGGCAGGAAATCCCCAGAGGCCGCCGACTACTCTTGCCGCTGCTACTCCCACAACTGCACCTTTTTCAATTCCCATGTTTGTGGGTGGGGAGCTGCAAAACTTTAATACGTTTGAGCAGCTTTGCCGTTTGCCGCGGCGGGAAACCCTTTGGCGGGTGCTGAAGGAACAGCTCCTCAACCCACTTCTTTACGGCCACGGGAGCAAAAACACCGAGATGGGTGAAGATTACGACGCGGTTGAAACCCCAATCGATAAGGTCTGGGATAGTATGAACTTCGCTCTTGCCGCGATGTTCACTTACACCGACCTGAAAAAACATCAGTTTCATTATACATTGGCGTTCCCTGTTGTGGATCTTGGCTCGCCTGTTTATGTAAAGCATCGCGTAAAGAGTGGCTATGCGGCTCTTGCAACGGAGTACGGAGCTTTGCATTTTGCCAACCGCACAGCTGTCGATCGAGTACATGCACATTTGCTGGATCGGCTACAGCGTCACCCAGAGCGCGGCCCAAATCCCTTTATTGTCGTCCGCAAAGGGGCGGCAGTCAATGATGAAAGTGAAACGGTGAGTTTTTACCCTTTCGCACCTACGACGATCAAGCAACTAAGCAAATCCCCGTTTCTCGTCGTTATGGCAGACGTTTCCACAATGGAGGATTTTCCTGGATGGTCTGCGCGCAACGTGGTTGGCGCGCTTCGCCTCGCCCATCCGTCAACAACGTCTTTTACACTGTACTGCATCCGCTACAATGACGTAGAACAGAGTGTAGTATTTGAGTGTACTTGTGATCCACTGAAGTTGACGTTGGAGGATGCAGTAGCGGGCGCAAATGCGGGAGAAGAAATTGCCCCCATAAGAGCAGTTGGGTGGACTGAGCGGAAAAGTGCGGCTTCCCCTGTGAGCTCTATTGACCTTGGGGCCATGATGGATCCGGAGCGTTTGGCAGAATCGAGCGCTCGACTAAATCTCAGCTTGATGAAGTGGCGCATGTTGCCTGACCTCCGGCTTGATGAATTGGCCGCCTGTAAGGCTCTGGTGCTAGGGAGTGGCACTTTGGGTTGCAATGTGGCACGCCACCTCTTGATGTGGGGAGTCACGAAGATAACTCTCGTGGATCGTGGCGACGTCTCCTTCTCAAATCCCGTGCGACAAACGCTTTTTGAGATGTCTGACGTCATTAACCCCAAAGCGGAGGAACGCAATAAAGCCGTTGCGGCTGCCAAGGCACTGAAGCGTGTCCTTCCCACAGTGCAGGCGTGCGGCGTGCCGTTGACAATTCATATGCCGGGGCATCGCATAGACAAGCAGCGTGAGGCGGAGGCAATCGCCGAGATTGAACGACTGGATGCCCTTATTCAGGCGCACGATGTTGTTTTTCTTCTTACCGATAGCCGAGAGGCCCGATGGTTGCCAACCGTGATGGCCACAGCGCATAATAAACCCCTCATAAACGCGGCATTAGGGTTTGACACGTATGTTGTTATGCGTCACGGCGTCGAGGAAAAAGAAGGAAGTGCCGCCTCCCGTTTAGGCTGTTACTTTTGTAGCGACGTGGTTGCTCCGCGGGACAGCGTGACGGCGCGTTCGCTTGACCAACAGTGCACCGTCACGCGTCCGGGGGTATCTGCGATTGCCTCGGCGACGGCTCTGGAGTTGCTGGCGCAGTTGTATAACCACCCGCTAGGCTTTGCGTGTCCTCCGTACACGGAAGCCGGAGTGCAACAAGGACAGCCGCGGCAGGATGAAGGCTCCCCAGCCACACCGTCCACCAACGTCAGTGGGGCTGCGTGTGTTCTCGGCAAAATCCCACATCAGATTCGTGGGAGTGTTTTCACGCACCACATTTATACACTATATGGCTACCGCTATGACTTGTGTACGGCCTGTTCTGACGCGGTGGTGGGGGCGTACCGAAGCGAAGGGGCTTCCTTTGTCCTGCGCTGCGTGAACGATCCCCTCTACATTGAGGAGGTGTGTGGGGTGAAGGCCTTCAAGGAGGGATTTAAGCTTGACGACCTTGGTGAGTGGGATGTCGAGTCGCACAGCGATTGAACACAGGTGCTTGCGCCGTCCCCATCCCAACTTTCCTCTTGCTTGTTGTTTTTTTTATTCCCCTCTTTTTTATTTTTTATTTGTATCTTGCTTTTGACCTCTCTCCTATCGCTGCTCCCTCTTCGGATTAGCATTATGGGAGCACGTTAGATGTTGTGCGTCGGGTTTTTTTTTGTTTTCTGTTGCTTGCTTGCTTTGTGTCTCGCCGTGTTTCCCTGCCTCTCCTCACATTCGTCTCTTGCTCACTTTTTACTGCGGGGCTGTTGGAAGGGGCAGGGGAGACGCACAAAACCGGAGACGGCGCTGAACGCGTCGCACACAACTCGCTCCGGACTGCCAACCCTGTTGGTCTCCACGCGCTCACTTTTCTCACCGTCGCGTCTACGTTTCCTTGGCACTGAAACAACAGCAAAGAATAGGGTGCCGTCCCGGTAGAACGGTCGCAACGTGCGGCAGCAACTGGCACGTAAATGCCGGCATCGTCCCTCCCTCTTGGCGCAAAGCGCCCCCGTGACGAGAAGGGCGAAAACGGCAAAATGAGGACGCCTGAGGCGTCGGTGTCGTCCTCACATGCAGCTATAATAGAAATTACGCATGGCATGACGCAGTCCGCAGCCGCAGAATACGACAAGGAGAGTGTGGGAACTGCCATGCGTTACCAAGACATGGATGCGTTGCTTAGCGCCCCAGCATTTCGCGAAAAGACGTGTCGGTTTTTGCTGCCACGTGCCGATGGAACCCACCCGTACGGCCCTGTAGAAATGGGTGTTATTCAGCTCGTGGCAAACGATGGTAAGACACTCATTTTTACCTCCGATGCCATCGCACCTGTGAACGTTTCCATGGCCGAGGGAAAGCGTCTGTGCATAGGCGATGTGGTGCTTCTCCAGCGCCGCATCTCAGAAGAGCAGGGAACGCAGGGAGAAGCTTTCATGCCGGCGAAGGTAGAATTCGTCGCCTTGGATCCCTCTGCGTTAATGGATGGCGCGGACTGGTGTCAGGCCGCCTCGTGGAACACTGTGGCGATGGCGCGGTGGATGCACCAGCTCCTCTCGTTCCCTCCTGGCCTCGCCCAGCTGACCTGCATTATGGATTCCTCTTGGGGCGAGGTAGCGGCATCTGTCACTGCCGCAGATGCGTGGCTGCGGTCACTGCAGTTGCCTGTTCTTCTTCAACAGTGGAAAAACGTGGATGGTGGGGTAGAGGCGCGTAAGGTCTTTCAGATGAAGAAGCTTGTTTTCTCTATGCTTCGCCTGTATGTGGCCATTTTGGGCAGTGCAGAGGCCATCATGACGCTTCCTTCTGTCGTGGAGGGAGTGGTCTACCAATTCCTGGGCTCGCCCCTATTCGTGGATGGGCTTTCCGTCGTCTTGCCACAGCTGGCCGGAGATGTCTCAGAGTCCACTTGGGCAAGTGCGCAGCAAACCATGCTAGACGCCATGAAGCTCGCGCAGCGCTACGTTTGCCGGGAGCCTGTGGAAGAGGAAGGGAAGGGGCAACGGGTGGCGAGAGAAGCCGCTGAGCGCGGCTTCCTCACCGCGCTTCATGGCATCTCCGCGTTGTGGTTGACGCATGCACCGAGGCCGTCACAGGCAGGTATGCAGGCGTTCATGAAACTGGTGGAGGAAATGGCCCGTGTTGGCGTTTTTCGCCAGTTCGCACAGTGGATGCGTCAGAAGGAACGGGCGAGAGAGACGGTGAGTCTCGTGGACAAGGTCCATCGTCCACCGAGTCTACAAGACGTAAAGGACCTTCACGGCTTGAAGAAAACCTCCCTGACGGAAATGCTGGCGGCCATGACGCAGACGTACACACCATACCTGCGACAGGAGACGCTGCGTTTTGTGGAGTGCGCCATGTTGGCGACTTATGCGGAGCTGTACGGTCCGGTGGCGTCTGCTCTATCCAGCTACATGGAATCCATCGCGACAATGAAGGCCGAAGATGCGGATCCGGCGAAACCGACGAAGGCGTTGCAGGTCACACAAGTATCGCAGTCAGCTCTTCGCCTTCAACTTTATGAATATTCCTTGGAAGAAGTTCGGCTCCACGCCCTCTTTGGGATGCCCTTGACCCTTACTTTGCGTGTAACAAGCGACACGCGCGACCGCAGTCGTCACGTTATTGAGGCAACCTCTACTTTTGGTTGTATTGTGGTGGTGTTGAGTGGCAAGCCGTTTATTTTTCCTGTCATGCTGTGCGGTGTGGTGGACAACACAGAGAGGGAATCGGTCATCACGGCAACCGCCTACGTTCTCCGCGATCGGGACATATTGCCGTCGCTTATGGCGGCAAGCGCGGCTGCGTCTAGTGAGTCCCAAGGACTTCCAGATGCATGGTTTTTTTCGGATGCTCGTTGGGAAGAGGAAACTGACTGTGATGACGATGCGGATGGCGATATTCCCACGTCTGGGCATTTGGGCAGTCAACCACCGCGCTTTATGCCCCCGGGCACATCGGCCGTTTCCTACGTACTCTATCTTATTCACCTGCAAAAGCTGCGTGCCCAAATGAGGCAGCAAGAGCAGAGCAGTGTGGCGGCGATGGGGCGCGCTAAGGGCGGTCCAGGCCAAGGTGAAACGGCGCCTAAAGGTGTGCTGTGGTGGGGGAGCGGCGGCAGTAGTAGTGGGGTGACTGGCGATGCCTTTACTCACTCCACCCCCTTGGAGGGGGAGAACGAGGTGCTGCAGCACTGCCTCTCTGAGCTCACGGACACCACCTCTCTCACTGCCTCACAAGTTGAGTGCCTTCACACCTTGACGACGACAGGCCCCGGCGTGCGTGCGCTCGTGGGGGCAGTTGGGTGTGGTAAGACGACCCTTATGTACGCCAGCAGCCTGTCTCGAGGTCGAATGCAGGAGGCGTTGCGAAAGCAGCATCAGCCGCTTTGGCACGCAACGATTAAGCACAGCGCGCAGAACCTTTCTGCGCGTCTTGGCGAGTTGGCCGCGGCGGAGGAAATGGAGGATCTATACAAAGTATCCGATGGCTCATCCGCTCGCGACCTCCCAGAGGAAGTCACCAACGCGGCTCTGGGGCATATTCAAGAACACGTGCAACTGAATGAGAAGCTAAGGCAATGCCATACACCGATGTTGCTGCGTCCAAAGGCATTGAAGCAAACAATTCCCACGCATTCCGTTCATGTGCTACAGGAAGAAAATGCTGCAAGGCATTTTTGCCCCATTGAGACTGTAATGGAGCAAAGCCACCAACGATCCCTGAAAGCGCCCCTTGCAACCGTTCTGAATGCCCGGTTACAGACCCTAAAGCGCGTCGGCGATCGCCTTGACTCCATGGCCCGTTCATTGGGTGAAAATGCCGTGACTGTGGGTAGAGAACGGAAGCTGTTCACTGAGCTATTGCCATGGATTATGTCTAAAAAAGAAAGACTTGACACATTCAACGAAGCCGTGCGTAAAGGCAAATCATGGGTGACGTACCTCTCTGAAGATTTATGGGACCCGTCAACGTTAGTGGAAAGCACCGATTTTGAATCTGCCTCTGGAAAGACAGTGTGGGAAAGTCTGGGGCCCGCGCCCAGCTCATTTCATGCGGTTACTTTACCAAATGCGGCACGTAGTCTATGCGCCTACACCCGAGATGAAGCTGGAGGATGGCTTGCTGTCTTTTGGGAAAAGCAGATTGATCTGCTTTGTTTTCTACAAAATGAAGTCATGGATGAGGCGCGACATCTGTTTCTACTTTTCCTGGACTTGATCCAAGCTGTGGCGGCGACTTCGCAAACTTCAAAGGCCACAGTGGTGACCGCGACGGGAGGCACGCTGTTTCGTGAACTCGCCTTCTTGCGTGTGTGGCAACCCCATTATCTCGTGGTGGATGACTATGAGCAGATTTGTGACGCACTTTACCTCACATTGTCGCAAGTAAACTCGGCTATTCTTGCACACCAATCTGAATCTCCCCTGCAACATGAGCAACAGCTCTCTCTCGCCATTTTCCGGGCACTGCAAAGGGAGTTGCAAGGGACACCGCTGCTTTCCTCTGTGGCGCTATCCGAATCCCTCCGTTTCCGTTCTCCAGAACTTCATAAAGCGGCACAGTTGTGTCGTAACAGTGCTGTTGCCTTCTACGCACCACTCCCACTTGGTGTGGCCGGCAACAATGAGGACAATAATGCTGCTGTTGTAGGTGGGAGTGGTGATGGCCAGGCAGCGCGCCAAAGTGGTACACTCACAGGATTTTCATCACCGTGTTGTGTGGAGTTTTGGACGCATGCCGTGGCCTTGTCTGCCAGCGTAACCTGTGATGGGGCTGCGGCTGCATTTGTGTGTAACCGTCTTCGGCGGATTGAACCTTCCATGGCCGTGACGGTGTATTGCGGCTTTGTGAAGGATAAAGCAGTGATCCTTGAAGGCATGGCGTCAGGGTCTGATGCTGCTGCCGCAGAGAACATGGGATCTGTCTGTGCAATTCCGTTCTGCTCAGACGCATTTGTCGAACGCGATGAGGAGTGTGATGTGGCTGTGATGTGTCTGTCAGGGATTGCGCGTCGATTGCGGCGGTTTTTAAGGCTGGGGCGGCAGTCGGCGTGGGATCGACTCGGGGCCGAGCGCTCGTTCGTGGAGCAGTTGGAGTGGTGGCTCTGGAGGACGGTGTCGTACGCCCGTCGTGGGGCAGTTTTGGTGGGAAGCAGAGAGGTGTTCTCTTTCCTTGAGCCGCTGCGGCGTTTGGAGCGCTTTGTGCTGCAGGTGCGTGAGCAGCGGGGCTTTTGGCTTCCACCTGAAGCAAAAGGCGCAGTCCTGGCCTTGCGGTGCCCGGACCATGAAAACTGTCGTCAACTGGCACTGTTGACCTTCTCTGACTATTCTGGCTGCCAGGTGCGTGTGGTTGGGGAACAGAAGTGTCGTTCCTTATGTCTGGCTCCGTACGAGAATTGTACAAATCCCTCTCACGCGTGTCTCCGCGTCTGTCATGTCTATAGTGGGGAGAGTGACGGCTGCGCCGCGGAGGACGGGGATCCCTCGCACAGTGACTGCCCATTTCCCTGCATGAAGGTTCAGCCATGTGGTCACGTGTGTGTGCGGCGGTGCGGGGAGCCGTGCTCCCCATGCGAATTTGTCGGACTTCGGGAGCTTTCGTGTGGACAACGGGTTGTTTCGGGCATGGTAGATACGGATCCTGTTCAGACGATCGTGCATCACTTTCAGCGGGTACGCTGCGGAGAGGCGCCGCGGCCCTGCGAGGAGCACGTGATGCTGCGATGCCCCCGCTGCGGCGGAAAAAATCCCATGCTCTGTCACGAGGTGGTTGCACGTGGTGGCATGGAGCACGCGGTGCTCAGCGAGATGGAGTGCGCAGGCTGCGTTGCTCTGTACAACCGCGTTGCGAAGGAGCATGGCGTGGCCCAGCTTGCGCCGGCGGTGCCGCCCACCGCCGGATGCCTGCCGCTAAATTCGCTGCCGGGAGCCGCCCAGACTCGGTTGCAGGAGCTGCAGACCTTTGCCGTGAAGAAGGCCCAAGTGATGTTGCAAAAGGAAGCGTTGGAGACTATGCAAGGGAGGCAGTCTTCCGAGTTTCACCTGCAGCAGGAGATCTACAATCGAATGCAGAGGCAACAGGAAGAGGAGGTCCGAGCACACCGACAGCGCGCCCAAGAGAACATTAATGTATGGACGAAGAAGTTGAAGCAAAAGTATGAGATGCAACTGACGGTAAATGAGGCGATGGAAACGGAAGTACCCCTTATGGTGAGTGAGGCCATCGCCGAGGAGGAGAAACAGCGGTCGCATCTTTTTGTGTAAACATGGTTGTTTCTCTCGCTCTTCCTGAAGTTGTATGTGTGTGTGTGTGTGTTTCGTTGGTAAAATATGAGTTAATGCGGCGCTTACGAGGGCTAATGGTGACGATGGTGGTGGCTTGTGCGTATCTAAGGCGACGCTTATCTGAGCTTGTGCATGTGGGCACACCTGTGTACTTGCATTCTTTTTGTTGTTTGGCAATGAGTCCTTTTTTTTTTGTTTCCTTTTTTATCTTATTTCTTTATTGTTTTTTGTTTGTTTCTTTGATTATAAACCTTTACGCATTCCTGGCGGGATTAGTGGGGAGGGGTGTGTGCATGCGTGTTTGCGTAGAGACGCATGGCGTTACTGCTTTCGCGCCGATGGGCACAAGTTTCCACGCGCCACATCCTCCGCCGGCCGCTGCCTGGGGAGCAGCAAGCGGGCATGTGGGGCACGGCGTATCGTGTGGTGCGGCGCACGTTCCTCGTCCGCTTCCAAGAGACACCAAACGAGGCGTGCTACAAGTTCTTCGTCGACGACGTGGTTTTTCTGCCGGCTGACCGCGCCGGCACGCTAAGCTTTGACCTCGAGAACTGCTATCAGTCGCCGCTGGCGGAACATATCCTGCAGAGTTTGCCAATGGTAGAGGAGGTGACGGTTGGGCCGCAGTTTGTGACCGTGCGGCGTGTGGACGACGCCGACGCGGAAGCGGCGGCGCGTTACTTCGCGCGCAAAATGGGCATCCGCGCCGAGCCCCCGAAGGAGGCGGCACGCCGTTCGGCGGCACTGCAGCAGCGGGTGATGGACGCCATGCTGGAGGGGAGTACTGATGCGGCCCCGCCATCGTCGTCATTGGCGCCGTTGGGCGATCACGGAGAGGCTGGTGTGCGGGGGCGGAGCGACGGCGCAGCCGGTGGTAACGAGGGTTGCGACAAGCCACGAGAAGAGAGCCTGCCGGGGAAGGAGGCAGCGGAGGAAGTGGGTCCCGGGGAGCACGTGAATGAGGCGATGCTGCGTGATCTTCTCCGTCTCTCTCACTGGAGCGAACTGAAGCTGCACGTGAGTGCCCTCCTCACGGACCACCTGTTCAGCGGGCGGCCCCACGTGGATCCCGCTGCGCCTCACCCCCACCCGGACACACTGCCGCGGGAGGGGGATTCTGAACTGGTTCTCATGCTGAAGGAGCTTATTTCAACGACCATCCGGCCCCAGCTGCAGCTTGACGGCGGAGACATTCGGTTTGTTAGGTTAGATGGTGCCGTCATGTATGTAGAGATGCTGGGGGCGTGTCGCAAGTGCAAGAGCAGTAAGACAACACTTCGGGACCTGATTGAGCGCACCACGCGGCATTGGGTGCCCGAGGTGAGTGAGGTGCGTGAGGTGGAACAACGCAGGCCGCCCCACCAGCGTTCCGCCCGGCTGTGAGGAGACGTGGAGAAAACCGGAGGCCGCGGCAACGACGAGAAGGAGGACGTGGCGTGTGTGGTGCCGACTGAACACACTGCTGTGAAACGGCGTGTGCGTGCGCACGCAATTTTTTCAACTTTCTTCGTATTGCCTCTCCTCCTCTTCGGTTTCGCCCGCCCACCCCCGTCCCGCCTGCCTTCTTCTAGCCTCTTGTCAAAGGCACTCCTCCAAGGTGTTTGTCGATGTCGCTTGTTTTTCTTTCTTTCTTTTTATGCTTGGGCGTGTGGGTCTGCGTGTCGAATTGAGCGACAGCGGCGACCTGCACGTTCGTTCGCGTCTCTCGTGGGGCGCAAGTGGGAATAGGTGGCTCGTTGCTTCCTTCCCGCACCGAGGCGGTGGAGGATCTCCCGGACAACGGCAAGTAGCGAATCCGTGGGGGACGCACTCGCACAGGCGCGCATCCTGCAGCCCACCATTGCATCTTGTGGGGACTACAAAGGCAGCCTGACGCCGAGAGTCGCGAAGGAAAACAAAAAAAACACACACATACACACGGGGCAAAAGGAAAAAGGAAGCAGCTATAATTTTGTCACTGATGGAGCAGCAGGTGGAAATGGCGGCAACCTCCTTCCGGGTGATGGTGTCTGAGGCGGAGCCCTACAGCTTCCAGACCTTCGCCGCACAGCAGACGCAGGACTCCGTGCGCATCACACACATTACATTTACTCCTCCCAGCCCCGAAGAACTGGAGGCCTACGTGCAGCACCAACGCAGAATCGCCTCTGCCACGTCAACAGGCACGGCAACCGCCGCGGTTTGTCCCGCAACGTTCGCGCTTCTTCGAACGCTCTGCGCAACACGCAAAGTGGAAAGCCACACCATCGCCTGCTTTCCGTGGAGTCAACCAGATGAAGCAACGACAGCGAAGATGAGGCCGCATGGAAATAATAACAAGAACAAGGGTAAAGGTAATAAAAAGAAGACGGGTGTTGCAGTTTTGCCTCAATCGACCACCGCTGCGGCTCACCCCGTGGAAGAGGTTCAGCTGGGCGGCTTGTTTGATGTGGCCCTCCCGCGGCAGACCGACATCTGCAGCAACGTTGACCTCCGCTTCGACGTGGACGGCTCTGTCTGGCTGGAGGTTGTTGGCCCCGGCCGTGTGACTTTCTTTGGGGAGCAGAACTCGTCGCTGATACCTGAGTGGATGGAAGAGCGGTTTTTCAACTTTGGCGCCAACAATGAGGAGTCGAGTGAAGATGACAACGCCGAGGAGGAGGAGGACGAAGTTGCGGCGATGTAAGTCCCGCCTCACCGACAGGGACGCTTTGGCTGTGTTTGTGTGCATAGACCACAATAAACAGAACCGGCAAGAATTTAGTTTGACAAGAGCCTTGGGAAAGGGGAATTTTGGCCGACGTCCTCGCTCAGGCGGGTATAAAATGCCACAATAGACGGTAACGCAACGGTGTGTAGGATTACTGTCGCGCTTCTCCTTCCAATCCTTTTCGTTCCCTATCTATATTTCTATATATCTCTCTTTTTCTCGTGTTCATTTTTTTTCTTTTTTTTTCTTTGCGCTTCCGTGTGTGCGGGTGCCTTTCTATCGGCGGTGGCGATGCACACACACGCCTACCTGTCCATGGGAAAGAGAGAAGGCGGCGGTGCGTCCTCCTTTTGCGTGTGTTGCTTCCTTCCTGACTTTGTCTCTGCGTCTCCCTTCACACGGTGGGGCCTGTGCTCCCTGGTAGACTGAGAGGCGAGGCAACGAGAACAACGGCAACGACAGAAAAGAGCACCTCTTTGGGGTGCGAGGAGGATGTGCTGATAGAGATGGATTAAGAGGGGGCGGTGGAATGAGAATAACATGAGTCTTCTCCGCATTGCCCTCGCGCGGTGGCCGCTGCTTTGGCGTGCGTCTTTTGCGTTGAGGCCTCTGTTGTGGGCGCTTTTGCCCCCCACACCCACCCCTTTCACTCACTCACTCTTTCGCTGCGCGTGGTGCGGCGGTGATGAAGGAAGTGAGGATCGCCGCCCATTTGTCTTGACGTGCAGCGGCCCACCACACGGCGTGTCTCTCCCCTTCCCCTCGCATGCGTAAGCCCCTGTGTGTGTGTGTCTGTGAGGGGGCGAATTGTGCCGCTGGTGGGGTGGGGGTGGGGGAAGTGGTGGCGCGACGTGTTTTCGTGAGAAAAGAGGAGGAAGGAAACCCTCATGTGCATTGAAGGCACCTGCGGCGCGTGCACGCGCAGCGAGGGCGAAAGTGCGAGGCAACTTTGGCAAAGAACACGAATGGTGTGCCAGGCGCGGCGCCACAAGCACATAAAAAAGAATATATATATATATATTTTAAAAAAAAGAGGTGAGAAATGAAGTGGCAAAAGATGAAGCGAGCGAGAAGAAACGTAGGAAATGGAGAGGAGGCGGAGGTGGTGGTGAACGTCGGGGCGGTCGCAAGGGCGGTTCGTGGGGAAAGCTGCAAACGAGCGACTGACCAGCATTGAAGTCTGTCTTTGCACACCTGCACCCGCAGCCAGCCAAATTATATATTCACTGCGATAATGGTGATGATGATGATTGCTGTCGCTCTGTTCTCTGATGCATCGTTCCAGTGGGGTCCCTCCTACGAGTGACAACTACAAACGGGGAAACATTCTTCTTATCGTGGTTCCCTATTATTACTACTTCTTTGCTCCACCTTCTCTTTCACCGTCCGTTTGGATGAACACTGCCGGAAGGTACACTTGCTGCTGGTAGGGGGGAGAGGGTGTCCGTTGGGGCCGTAGCGAAGTGAGGGAGGTATCTAGAGCCATAGAGGGGGGGAGAGAGAGAGGAGTATTGCCAATAAAGAGAATCAGGAGGGTGAAGAGGAGGGGCAACTGAATTCCTCTCACGCCCTCCATCTCGATCTCTCAATCTCCTGCTTAGCGAGTAGTTTTGCAGCTGCGGACACGCAAGCAAGTTTAGTGCCTGCTTGCACGGGGTGGAACAGGGAGCGGGGGGAGCGATAAGGGAAGGAGCGGAGGCGAGGGTGCGGCAGAAAGGCGGGCGGGATTGTTTTCACCGTTGCCGCTGCGCCCTTCCCCTTCCGCATCTCGGGTCCATTGGTCATTTGGGAAGAGGGAGCGGGGAAAGGGGGGGCGTGGCGACTGCCCCCCGCCGTCTCCGCTCTCCGTCGCCGATGCCTTTCGCCTCCTCAGCGGCGGCATGGCAGCAGCAGCAAAAACAACAACGCGAAATTGACTTTAATGCGGTGTTGGCGTACTGTTGCCGACCTGCACCGTACGCGCTGGCCTGCGCGTCGCCGTGGTTTCGGCGACGAATGGAGCAGCTCAACTGGGTCAGCCTCGTAGCCAAGACTATTCCCGCGCACTACCCTGAGCTGCTTGACACCACCGTCGCCACACTTATTCGCGGGGACGGCACTGTGTTCCGTGACGGCGTTGCTCTGCCACATCGATACCGCCTGCGCACGGCATCTGGCCACGACCACCACAATGCGATGTTGCTGGATGAACTGTGGCGAAAGGGGCTACTTGCCGGCCACGACACCGAGGCTGTCCTCTACTTCAACGGACCTACTAACGACGTTTTGCTTCTGGAAGACATGCGCTCCGTGTGTCATGTGTTTCTGTCCCATGACGCCTCACCGCCAACAGAGCACCTTTTGTACTGGCTGGCGCGGCCGCGTCGCGAGGAAGATTGGCGAAGAGATACAAACCACCGTGTGCCGCTGGCCGTAGATGAAATGACGTGGGACATCACGGAGGAGCCACCCCCTTGCTCTGCGGAGCTCGATACCGCTTGGGCTTCTTCTCGAGCTCGTGGTTTGGCACTGCATCTCACCGAGCATCATCTGCCGTGGCTGGCGGCATTCCTCGTGACGGAGTTGCCGCCGTTGCAGGAGTTGTACTTATCGTTGGACGAGGGTCGGATGCCCGCTCCCAGAGAAATGTGGTGGTGGATCAAGAGCATGCTTGCTGGGAGACCTGCCCTGCGTGTGTTGTGCTTTTTGCCGCGTCCTGCGTTGGTACTGGGACCACCACGAAAGCAGCTTGACGACTATGACGTGCTTGCGCCGTACGTTGAAGAAATGGATTTTGTAAGGCCGGATGCCGGCGGGCCCTGTAGTCTGCAGAAAGGTCCTTCTCGCAACCCAGGGCACAGTGTTTTATCTTTTACAAATGCGAACACTCACGGTGAGGAGCGGGGGCGTTTGGTGACGGAGAGTCCTTTCGCCACACCACCCAGCGCCGCCGTACAAAGCAGCGGGGACAGTAACTTGCTTACGCCGACCGAGGAGGAGTATAACAAGCCTCGCCTGCTCGACGCAACAGACGTGGAAGGGCTGGAGCAGCTTGGCTCGCTTGAGGTTCTCTACATGTGTCCGTCGGCGACGGGATCTCTACCGTTTATTGCGCAGCAACCCACAAAAATGAAGGAGTTGTATCTTCTCTCTAATGCCGCCCTACAGACGACCGGTGTGCACGGCCTCGAGTCACTCCCAGAGCTGGAAGTGCTGTGGATCGAGGGGACTTCGATACGTAAACTCTCGTCTTTGTGTTTCTCGACCACACTGCGGGAATTACATGTGGCGCTTGACTTTGCCTTCGCTACCTCTGTATTGGAGGGCATTGAACACATTCCAACGCTTGAGGTGCTGCACCTTGAGCGCGTCACTGTGGATGCCCTCTCTTTTGTCGGCGGGTGTGTGTCGCTACGGGAGCTGGTACTACAGGCATGCCGCATCTCCTTCATAAAGGCACTGCGGGGAGTGGAGCGGGCCCCTTTGGAGCGTGTCTCTCTGGCCCACACAAACGGGATCCGGGACGTCACGTTTCTGTCATCGTGCAAACGGCTTCGTGAGCTCTTGTTAACCCGCTGCAACGGCATCAGCACTGCTTCTATTGCGGGTTTAGAGACCCTACCTCGCTTGGAGGTACTGGCCCTCGAGTTTACACGCGTTGATTCAACGAAGTTGATGGGTGCAAGTCCATCGCTACGTCATCTTCGTCTAAACAATTGCAAACGGGTTCTGCGAGGCTCCATCGTCAATCTGGACTGCTGTGCGACGTTACAGTGCCTTTCACTGCGGGACACAAACGTCATCAATGTGGAGGCGCTTTACGGGTCTCGCAGTTTGGTCGAGATTGACCTCAGCCACTGCAAACATTTGGAGCAGAACGGAGTTGAGGGCGTCGTCCGTATTCCCACTCTTAAAGTACTTTGTCTCTCCCACACTCCCATAACCAGCGTCACTTTTCTGGGTGGGTCTACGTCACTTGGGGAATTACATATAGACAACTGCCCAAATATTACCAACGAGGGATTGCGCGGCATCGAGAAGATTCCCACCCTGCGCGTGCTTTCCATGATAAGCTGCCAGGCCAGTGAAATTGGCTTTCTCGGAACAAGTCCATGCCTGGAGGAGCTTCATATTGCGTCTATGGAGCGACTGCGGACGTCGGGCCTCAGGAAACTTGAGGCCGCCTCCCACCTTCGTCACCTCAACATGGCGTTTTGTGGCGTGGACTCTGTCTCCTGCCTCGTGCATGGCTGCGTTAATCTGCAGTATCTGAACCTTCGCGGTTGCCAGCGACTCGCCACCGAGGGACTACGAGGACTCGAGGAACTGCCCACCTTGACGGACCTTGTGCTTGACGACCTCGACCTCGTTACCGACATCAACCGTCTCGCGTACAGCGCTTCACTGCGACGGCTAAGCGCCGTGCGGTGCACGTCCCTCACCCTTGGGGGGGTGCACAACCTCCTCTTGCGAACGCTACCCATATCCCTTCGTCTGTAGCCCAGAGCTAATGGTGTTTACTTCTTTCTTTTCCTTTTTTAGTTCATTTTCCAATGCCACGAATAACCGCAAAAGAAAAACAAATATTGAAAAACTTAGAGCTTATGCTTATGAAATAAGTGGCAGCACGACTACGTTTTGATGTTGTTATTTTATTTTTATCGCCGTTGAGTCCTCCTCGCCTTCTGCCGCCGCCACTTCCCCTGAAGTGTGACGCGCCTTCTGTCTCTGTGTGGCCGCGACTGTTGGCAACTGGTGTCGTCTTTCCCCTTTGGACGTTGCGATCCTTGCACAGACGTACGCTTTATCGTTAGCAGCAAAATATTTGAAGAGGACTCATAGTTCGCGGGAGACAAGGGCCTCATCTTGTCGCGCTCGGAACAACGCTGCCCTCTGCACTATAAATTATTATTATTATTATTTATTTTTTCGTTCGAAAAGAAGAAGAGAAAAAAGTGGATAATCTTCGATGACTGTGGGAAAACCGCCTTCTATTAACAAGCGTCCAATGCTGACGGCTTCGCCTCCCGCGTTGCGACGCGCCACCTTCTTTGCAGCGGCCATGATGGCCTCTCTCCTCTTGCTCAGTGTGGCCGGCTCGGAGGAAGTCGTCGTCGGGGTGCTGGACGGCACCCGCAAACTGAATGCGGGGGACATCAAGGCAGGGTTCAGGGCGGGCGAGAAAAATTTCATCACACGCTGTGGCGACTTCGACACACACGGTGACAGGTTCATCGTGGTACTAGAGATGGGGAACTTCAGCGACTATCTTGTTCCC